AGAACTTGTTCAACCTTTGCTAGATTCTATCATAGGAAGAGATAGATCAATATCAGCATTTCAAGAAAGAGTTCATAATGAGAAGAACTCATCTGAAGGGAAGAAGAAGTTCGTAATGAGAAGAATTTCTTCAACTTTTGCTCGATTCTACACAGAAGGGGATAGATCAGCATCAACATTTCCAGATGAGTTCTCAGAAGAGTTCATAATGAGAAGAACTCATTGAAGAGGAAGAAGAAGTTCATAATGAGAAGCTTGTTCAACCTTTTGTATGACTCATCACAGAAGGAGATAGATCAACATCAACATTTCTAAAAGAGTTCATAATGAGAAGAACTCATCTGAAGAGGAAGAAGAAGTTCATAATGAGAAGCTTGTTCAACCTTTTGTATGACTGTATCACAAAAGGAGATAAATCAGTATCAACCTTTCCAGAAGTGTTCATAATGAGAAGAACTCATCTGAAGAGAAGAAAAAATTCATAATGAGAAGAATTTGTTCAACCTTGCCTTAATTCATCACATATGAAGCTGAATTAACAACCTCTTTTGAAGATCAACATTTCCAGAAGCAGTTCATAATGAGAACTCATCTGAAAAAGAAAGAAGTTCATAATGAGAAGAATTTGTTCAACTTTTTGATAGATTATATCAGAGAATGAAATAAATTGTCATCCCGAGTGGAAAAGTTCATAATGAGAAGAACTAATCCCAGATGAGAACTTGTTTAACATTTCCATCCTAATCAAGTAAAGTCAAATGAAAAAAAACTTATTGCCTTTTCATCTTTACCCTATTCTCGTTAACACAAGAATGAGCAAAGAGGACAACTGAAGACATTACTTTTTTTCCATTCGGTTTTATTATTATTATTATATTGTTATTATTATTATGTATTTATGATTTATTATTATATTATAATTTTAATTATAATAATAATAATAATATTATTATTATTATTATTACAGGCCCAAACCATAACCCAATTACAAATGGGTACCCAAAACCCAAAATCTAGCCCAGATACATAACCCTAAACCCAACTAGGGTTTCAACATCTTCACCAGCCGCCTCTCCTTTCAACCGTTAGATCTCCTTTCAACCGTTGGATCTTGCCAGATCCAACGGTCCAAATCCTTCCAACATGAAACCCTAGGGCCACGCAGTCGCCATCTTCACTGCCATCGCTCCACGTCGCTTCATCTGCTGCCACGACGCCAACCGAAGGCTTCCAGAAGAGCCATTCCAGCCGCACACGTCGCCCAACAGTGAGTCACCACTGGAAGTTTGGTGACTCACCTAAGGGAGCCTTATTAACCGGTCCAAGACGAGCACAGATGATGGCTATAAAGTCATCGACCGAACCTGCAAAGAACAGAGACAAAGAGCAACAGAGAAGAAGACAACCACCAAAACCACCAAATATCAAAACTAAAATTAAGAGAAACCTTACCGAGGAAGCTGCGACGCCACCAGAGTTCACACGCTCCTTTACGCCACCAAAAGCCTTCGAAAACCGAAGGTATTTTTGTAGATTTGCTCCGATTAAAAGCTTTTAAGGGAAAAGGTCACTGGATTCATCATTAGGACGGTCCAATCTAAATTTTGGTATAAAATTTGTATTTTCCGACCACCGGAGGCGATGGTCAGCAGTGGAGTTGGCGACGACAAATGGCTGTCGGCTGGCGACCGAATTCCCTTCGGTGAGGGAATCCTAGAAAGAGGGCTGAGAGAATTTCTTCTCTCGGTTTAAAGAGAGAATGAGAGAGAAGAGAAATGAAAAACGACCTTAAGGCCATTTAGTTAGGGTTTAAATACCCCTCCCCGAACGGCGTCGTTTTGGGGAGGGGTCTGTGTGTAATTTATTAAATATAAAACCCTATCCGTAATCCTCTATTTTATATAATTTTCATTTTAGTCACTAAATCAAATATATGATACTTTTAATTCGGTATCTTAATTTTATTTCTTCATAATTTAGTCCTTAGCATAATTATATATATTAAAGGTAAATAACCAATTTAGCCATCATAATTTTATTATTAATTATATTAATCCCGAAAAGCATGTTTTAATTTATTTTAATTTAAAATTCGAATATGATATATGTTTATTTTAGTCACTAAATTAATAATAGGTAAAATAGAATGTTTAGCCACTGTAATTTTAAATAATTAATTACGAATTAGGCATTTAATTTTAATATGTTATAATTTAACCACTAATGTTAAATACTTTCATTTTATATTTTAGTACTATAGTTATAATTTTATTTATTTTAGTCACTATTTAGTTATATTTTAATCTTATGTTTATTTTCAATATATTTAATTATTATTATTAAGTATTGTTTATATAAAATATATAATAAGTAATATTTATTTATTTATTTTATTTTTATATTATTAAATAAAATCCTATTAATAACTTTAATTTTATATAAATTACTTTTAGGAAAAATAATCATATTTTAATATTATTATTTTTAATATTAAGAAAAGCTATCTTAAAACAACTAGAAGTCATTTTCTGATATATTTAAATAACTAAATCTTACTTTTATAAATTATATATATTAATTTAATTTATTTTAATTATTTTTAGAAAAAATGTTATATTAATATTTATTTATTTTTTAATATTAAGAAAATGATTGTCTTAAAGCAACTAGAAGTCTTTTTCTGATATTTCTAAATAAATAAAGATCTTATTTATAAAATATAATATATATATATATATATATATATTATATATATATATATATATAGTTAATATTTTCTTAAAATTATAGTAATAAATTTGAAATCATAAAATTATGAATTAAATATCTTTGAATTTTAAATTTCTAATAATAGAGACAATTTATAATTAATAAGTACCAATTTTGGGCATTATAGGGGTGCTAATCCTTCCCTAAACGTAACCGACCACGAATCCTTTCTTTACTAAATTTTTTTTTGTTATACACATATCAGTTTATCTTTTAAATTATGTTTCTTAAAAACTATTTTAAAAGGTTACTTTTATGTATTTGACCTACCTAACTCAAAAGGTCAATGCGACTCAAAATATTTTTTAAATCAAAATTATTTATTTATTCATTTTTATTTTTCCCGTCAAGTAAAAAAATTTCATGCCCGGGCAAAAACCGGTTACGAAAACTTGTTTGAGAAAAAGATTTTTTCTGTATTTTTTTGGCTTGATTAAATCCAAAGATTTCAATAATCGAACATATTCATAAAATATTGAATATTTCTGCTTTTGTTCTGAAAACAATAAGGCGAAATAAAATTGGGAATAAATGTTTGTAATGTCAAAAATAGGAATATTTGATTCATTAGAAGTGATTATGATATGATCGGGGGCTTTGATGGAAAATTCATTAACTGTTTTGTGTGTTGCGTGCTTCAGGCCCCTTTTGCCAAAGGGTATTGCTCACTATGGAAGAAAAGCATCTTCCTTATGACATGAGGTTGGTCGATTTGGCAAACAAGCCGGAATGGTAATTGCTTCTAAAATCACCTCTTTGGACTATTAATTGTATGGTATTCATTCTTCTAATAAATACATCGGACGACCTCTGTATACCATATTGTGCTGCCTTCTGATTAGTTAGCTTTATAAGGAAATCTATTTGAACAATGCTTGGTCATATTCAGGTTCTTACAGATCAGTCCTGAAGGGAAGGTTCCAGTAGCAAAATTTGATGAGAAATGGGTTCCTGATTCTGATGTAATTGCGCAGACACTGGAAGAAAAGTATCCCGATCCACCATTGGTTACCCCGCCCAAAAAGGCATCAGTGTATGTCTTCGTGATCACTGACCTATGCCTTGATGTTATAAACTGAGGAGTGAAGAGTGATGTGTTGCAGTGCTTGCTGTAGTATTTTTATCTCGCTTTCTTTTCAAATTATTACTCTTGCATCTTATTGGATTAACATTTAAAACTTAATCAAACAAGGACCTTGAAGCACAGTTTCAGAAACCTAGGTCACTTCATTAGCTTAACCCGTACAGAAAGCAAAAGTATATTCTTCAGCAACTGATATCTCTAACATAAAAGTTGACAGGATAATAGTTAGGTAGACTGCAGATGATCTTGAATAAGCCCCAAGTTATATTTTAAGCCATGGGAAGGCTAAAAGGGGATTCAGTTGCTTTGTTTATGTTGGTTGGATATTTTCTTGGCCTTCGGGCATTTTTATTTTAGTTTTGTTCTTTGAGTGATTGGCCTGCTCACTCTAAAGACCTTAAAGACAATGTTAACATGTCTCATCATGTATAAGACTAAGCTTCTTATATTCAGAGAACCGTTTATTTAGCTATAATTGATGTGAAAACTTTCCTCATGGTCAGTCTTTTAATTAGCCATCGTGTATAAATTTGTATAAGCTGGCATATATAGGAATAACAGATGCCATTATTTCCTCAATTGAGAAACTTGTCATGTTAATTCAAAAAAAAAAAAAAAGAAACTTGTCATGATTATCTCATGATTGCTTAATGTCAGTTTTTGAGCATCATCCGTGACAACATTTTAAGTTTCTCGAATTATCAACCGGTAATTTATGCATAGCTTTTGGATTTCTACTGCAGTGGTTCGAAGATCTTCTCCACATTTATTGGTTTTCTTAAAAGCAAAGATCCCAGTGATGGAACAGAGCAGGCATTGCTGAATGAATAAGCTCATTTAATGATTTATCAAACAAATGTGAGGCCTCTATCTTAATTTGCTTAGGATGGTTCAAAACTTAACAATTGATTGTGGTTAGGCTGAACAATTTATACCCTATTAATATAATCTTAACATTAATAACTGATTTCTCTGGTTCGTTAAATGCAGTAAGATTTGCCAATAGCTATGCTTTTTATGATGATTGGATAAATTGTTGATGTCCAAGAAATAACATATCTGTTTAAATTTGGTCATTGCAACAAGTTACCTGGTGTGCCTAATTGATTAATTCTTTTCCTTGAAGGGCCCTTTTATCAATGGGAGAATGTTTCTGCAGCAGACTTGTCTCTGGCACCAAAGTTATACCATCTTGAGATTGCTTTGGGGCATTACAAGAAATGGTCTGTTCCGGATACACTCCGTATACAAAATCTTACATGAAGGTAAGCTGTATACAAAATCTTACATGAAGGTAAGCTGTACAAAATCTTACATGAAGGTAAGCTGTATATGCTCCTAACAGCTATTCTTCTTGTTTCTTTAGCCTAGAATTTGAGCACATGAGGAAGCAGGTATGAGAGCAACTGATGACAACCATTTATCTCTACTGCTTACATCTTAATCTGCTCATACGTGCACAGATAATAATTTTTAGTCCTTGAGGCCAAACGATAACCAGGACTCGATGATAGAATCAAATATAAATCTGAGTGTGAAATTTCCGTTATTTGCTCTTGCGTGTTATGTATATGTTGATCTATGCTCCTTATCATTTTAATTTCTCATGTACAGACAATTTTCTCAATGGAGTCGTTCGTCAAAACGTGCAAGTCCTGATGATGTAATTGCAGGTTGGTCCCAAAGTAATGGGCTAATTCTTTCTACCCTTCTCCCCAAAATTTGATGTAAGGAGGTATAATATTTACAAGAAATGCTACTCTTCTTGACATGCAAATGGGATCAAGGACCAATTTCTTCCTGCTTGTTATCATATGAGAGTACTTCCTTTTGTTCATCTGAGATAAAACATATATGCCCCTCTAAAAGTTAATACCTTATAGCATTGGCTATCGGGTGCAACATTTGCAAGGCTCCTAAGATACTTCCCATCTACCATTTTGAGTGAGCCCCAGCCCCCATGCTTTCAGTTTATCAATTGAGATCAACCTGGCATCATAAACTACTTGCCAAAAAAAAAAGGGAAATTTCTAATCGAATGCAGTGGTACATTGTACTCTCAAATTGAGGGAATTTAGAATTTTTTTTTATGAAAGAGGGAATTTATATTCAAATATTAGAGTTGAGGGACAGTCACAAATCCAATACCAAAAATAAAAGCTACTTTTTAAAATTGAATACAAAAGTTTGTTTATTTCATGAATCAAGCGACCTTGGTAGTAAATGAATTGATATTATTTCTGGAGGTTTCAAGTTTAAGTACCATAAATGTTACGGGTGTAAGTGTTCAAAGTTAAGTGATTGATAGTTATCTTTAAACATATATTACTTTGTACTTATCTCAGATTAATAAAAAAAATCTCACTTTGTTCATGTCATTATATTTTGAATATGATTATCTATTTGATATTATCATTAACAATGTCATTTTCGTTGATACAATATAAATACTTTCCTTTCAAAAAAAATGTTGTAATTTGTCTGTTAAAAAATATTGTAATTTGAAAAATAAAAAAATAAATATTCAATGTGAAATTTATTGAACGCTGGTTATTAAGAGGTGCGATTAAAGCCCGTTTTCTCATTATATAATATGGGTTTTTTGCCCCAAGCGGCAGGCGCCGATTTTTTTTTTTACCCAAAACATAACCGATATTTTATTTTAAGATCTATGGCATTTTTTTACAGTGCAGAGGGAACTTGTCACCTCGAAATGATTAGTTCCATATAATACTATTTTTATATTACATGTCCAATATTTTAATATTTCTTCCATTAAAAATATTATTTTTTCCAAATTATTATTTGAATTTAATTTCAAAAAAATATATTAAAACTCGTCATCTCGATGTGATAAATTACTTTAAATAAATTTGTCACCTTACTTTTAGTTTTTTCCCTCCAAAATGTGGTAGATTATGTTGAAAAGAGCAACAAACTATGAACATTAGATTAGACCTTCAGAAATGCACATTAAGAAGGAAAAAACTACAAACTTAATACATTGACATGAGGATGTAAATATGACTAACCTTACAAACACCATAAACATTAAATAAAATCATAAACATAACACTATTGATTAAGAAGTTTTAATCTTTGTAATCAATAGACTCGTTAGAAGTAATTAAGTTCTTCAATTATTCATTCTTTTTGTTGTTGTCGTTCATGTACAAATTGAAATCATTTGTCTGAGTTGGTGAAATATTTGAGCTGGAAGTATCATCCTCAATGGTACGAGCAAGGTCAAGATCATCGAATTCTACAAACAAATCGACATTAAACAAAGAATGATAAGTATGTCTCAATCATGCCAGTAATGTCTACATCATCGCTTAGATGAAACCTCGTTCATGATACTGGAATTTTATAATATAAGGAAGATACTCTTATATTGCTTCCAAGTAGAACTCTTGTTTCTATACTGAACTTCAACTCATGTAGTTGGATATTTTTGGAAAACACATGGTTATATATTTTCAATCGTAAAAAACAGTTGCACAGATAGTTGTCATGTTTGAAAAAAACTCAAGAGATTCATGAAGCCTAATAAAGGAAGAAGATTCCAAAGAAAAGAAGGCTTCAAGAATGAATCCAAGGAGAATGACCCTATAATTTACTATGAGTGCAAAAAGCTGGGTATGTTAAATTTAAATGCCCACAATTAAAGAAGAAGGGATCCTCTAAGAAGAAACACAAGGCACATATAGCTACATGGAGTGATGATGAGTCATCCAATGAAGATGAGGAAGAGGTAGCCAACTTGTGTTTCATGGAAATTGAGGGAGAATTGAAGGTAACCTTTAACTTATCTACATTAAATGAATATTCTTTTAATGAGTTGCAAGAGGCTTATTTGAGATCATGCTTTCAAAACATAAGAAAAATATTTCAAAATTGAAAAATGAAAAATGATCTCTTGTCTAAGACCAACAATGAACTTGAAAGTAAGGTCAAAGATATTCAAGTCAAACTAGAGGAGTTTGAAAAGAAAAATCATGACTTGCACAACATACTTTTTAAGGTTCATGATGATCATCAAAAGAAACTTGATGATCTTACATCTTCTTTTAACAAAGTTGGAACAAATCATTTTGAAAAAAGACAAAATTCTAAATCCAACTATGTTTGAAATAACTTTAGACCATACAATCATAGAGGTCCCTAAAAACCTCAAAGGGAAAAGCTGTTAGAAGTACATGGGTCCCTAAAGGACTCATTACTACTAAAGACGATTATATCCTAGAAAATGGATACCTAAGAGGACTAGATTATTGGGAACTAATGACTATGGACCCAAAAGAATTTGGGTACCAAAAATCAAAACTTGATCTATGTTTGTAGGTGGAGGAGCATTGCTACAAGGAACAAAAAAAAAGTTCAAACTCATGGTACATTGATAGTGGATGCTCAAGACAAATGATTGGTGATAAGAGTCGGTTCTTGGAGCTTAATGCTAAAAGTGGATGAGTAGTAACCTTTGGTGATAACTCAAATGATAACATTAAAAGAATTGGTTCTATTGGTAAGAACTCATCCATTCTTTGAAAATGTTTTATATGTAAATGCATTAAAATTATCTTCTTAGTATTAGTCAATTATGTGATAAGGGATACAATGTCTTACTTGAGTCAAATGGTTGCAAAATTGTTGACATTGCATCTAATATGATTATGCTTGTTGGTCATAGAATGAGAAATTTACATGGTGTATTTAGATAATATTGACATGTATAATGTATGTTTAGTTGCTAAAGATAAGCATGATTGTTGGTTGTGGTATAGAAAGCTTGGACATGCTAGCATGAATGGTTTACAAAACTTGTTCAAAGCAATCTTATAAGCTTGCCTAAGATAAAATTTGATCTTGATAAAATTTGTGATTCATGTGCTAAAGGCAAACACACAAAAAAACTTCCTTTAAACCTATTAATGGTATCATCTAGTAGAGTACAATTGATCCATATAGATATTTTTGGGCCTATTAAACTACTAACTTGGTGGAAAACAATATGCATTTGTATTGGTCGATGACTACTCTAGGTTTACTTGGTTCTTTTCTTAAGTACAAAAGATGAAGATTTAGAAAATTTCATTACTTTCTCTAAAATAATCCAAAATGAAAAGGGTTACTCTATTTCAAGTGTTAGGAGTGACCATGGAACCGAATTTCAAAATCTTGGGTTTGATGATTTTTGTAATTCAAATGGAATTAGCCATAATTTTTCATCCCCTAGAACCTCTCAACAAAATGGAATTGTTGAGAGGAAATATAGAATTTTAGAAGAAATAGCTAGGATCATGCTTTGTGAAAACAATTTGCTAAAATAATTTTGGGCGGAAGCCACAAATACCGCTTGTTATGTGATTAATAAAGTAATGATTAGGCTTATTTTAAAGAAAACTCCATATCAACTTTTCAAAAATAAAAAGTATAACATTAGTTATTTTCATCCTTTTGAATACAAGTGTTTTGTTTTAAATAATGAAAAGATAATCTTGGCAAATTTGATACAAAATGTGATGAAGGGATTTTCTTGGTTACTCTTTAAATTCTAAAGCTTATCGAGTCTTTAATAAAAGAACTCTAATGATAGAAGAGTCAATACATATTGTTTTCGATGATAATCTCCTTCTGAGGAAGGATTCTTGTATTGATGATGATGTATGTATCTAAAATCCAAATGAAGTTGGTGAATCATCATCTAAAGAAGTGAATAATGAGGAAACTCAAGATGTCTTCAAGAATCTAACTCTAAAGGAAAGGGAAGTCACATACCCAAGGGAGTACAACTATGTCAAGGATGGTGAAATTTTGGGCTATCCATCCAAAGGGGTAACCACTAGATATTCTCTTAAAAATATTTGAAATTATGTTGCATTTATATCATGCATAGAGCCTAAGAACATCAAAGATGCATTAAATGATGAACATTGGATTATAGTTATGCAAGATGAGTTAAATTAATTTGAGAGAAGTAAAGTGTGGAAATTAGTTGAAAGGCCTAGTAATAAGTTCACTATAGGTACTAATGGGTATTTAGGAATAAATTAGATGAAAGTGGTAATATATTGAGAAACATGGCTAGACTTGTTGCTCAAGGGTACACTCAAGAAGAGGGAATAAATTTTGATGAAACTTATGCTCATGTAGCTAGGATGGAGGTTATTAAAATGTTATTAGCATTTGGATGTTAGTATGAATTTACTTTATTTCAAATGGATGTTAAAAGTGTATTTTTAAATGGTTTTATAAAAGAAGAACTGCATGTGGAACAACATCTCAGTTTTGAGGATTCATAATTTCCAAATCATGTTTTCAAGTTGAAGAAAGCTTTATATGGTTTAAAACAAGCTCCTGAGCTTGGTATGAAAGATTGTCAAATTTCCTTATTGAAAAAGGTTTTTCAAAAGGGAAAGATGACACTACCTTGTTTATAAAAAGTAAAGATAAAAATTTATTAGTATTTCAAATTTATGTCGATGATATAAATTTTGTTTCTACTAATGACGTTCTTTGTCAAGAATTTGCTAAACTAATGCAAGGTGAAATTGAGATAAACATGATGGGGGAGTTTTCACTTTTCTTGGGGCTCCAAATCAAGCAAACAAAATATAACATCTTCATAAATCAAGAAAAATACATCAAAGATTTCAAGAAGTTGGATTGAAAAATGTGAAACTCCAAGCCACTCCTATGAGGTCATCTAAAAATCTTGACAAAGATGAAGAAGGTAAGTGTGTAGATGTTAAACTTTATAGGTCTATGGTTGGATCATTGCTTTATCTTACCGCAAGTAGACCAGACATTATATTTAGTGTTTGCTTATGTCCTAGA